GCCCCCTCGCCCGACGCCCCCCGCCCGACGCCCCCCCGTCGTCCCCGAGCCCCCCCAACGCCCAAGCCCAAGCCCCTCATCCGCCCTCCCGTGGTGCCCCGCCCCAGCCCTCCATCATTCATGCGCGACACGCTCGAGTTCGAGAAGAAGGGCAAAAGTGTCACGCCAACCACACTGCGCCAGTCGCTCAAGTACGCCGACGTGGCGGATGCGGCCGGTGCGAATCCCAACCCGATCAAGCGCGCCGGTGACGCGATACTCGAGAGCGGGATCGAGCAGCTGCTCGCCAGTCTTCAGCCCGACCACATCAAGCAGGTCTGCGCGGTGACGCACACATTCGGCGGCGACTTGGCGCAACTGCGCGAGGCCATCGTGGCCCAGTACTTGGCCTCCGGAGGCGGCAGCCTCGCGCGCTTCATCGAGGAGTGCCCGGCCCCGCTGCAGAGCGCGTTTCAGCGGGTCCTGCGGCTCAAGAAGAACGCGCGTGACCCAGTCGCGCACCAGATCACCACCGGCATCGTGCTGCTCGGCACGCACCACTACTTCAGACAATTGCCCAATCTTCTCAAGAAGGAGTGGTGCCGCGACCTCGGGCTCAAGGTGAGCGGCACCGCAGCGGAGCTGGAGGAACGCCTCATGGTTAGTCAGTCCTCGCACCACTTTCATAGTCGTGATGTGCTGTTGTTCAACCGTGTCTGACCATCATTGTGCTGGGCCAGTCTCATTTCTTTGAGCAGTGGGCGACCCACACGGAGAGCTACCCCGATCCAGCAGTAGAGCCCCCTGGCTCGGGATCGGATGGCGACCAACCATTGACGTGGGCGGACAAGATCGAGTCGGCACTCCAACAGCACGGGGGGGAAGCCACCCTGACCGAGATCTACTGCGCCATCGAGGCAGAATTCCCCCAGGACATCGTCGACAAGCCCAACTGGCAACCGGCCATCCGTTCGTGTCTCTCCACCAACACCAGCAAGGGCAGGTTTGCTGTGGAGGAAACTGCCGATGGCCGGAAGTGGAGCCTCAGCCAAGGCTAGGCCTGTTCTACTCGGGCACACCCCCGCAAAAAAACAAAATTAAATCAGCTGATTTTTAATTGCAATTTATTTTATTTTATTTAATTTTTCTCCCAATTCGGCCAAAATACAAAAAACTACCGGGCGAAATGGTAGAACCAAAGATGGAGCACTACGTGCACGGGGATGTGTTGGTGGGGTTCACCATCTTCGCTATGGTGGCGGGCTTCACAATTCTCTTCGTCCTCTTCTTCGTTCTCTGGTGCTGCTGCTGTCCTCCAATGTACGGCACTCAATCTTGGACTGAATTAGGAATTCTTTATTTATTTAATTAATTTTTCTATTTATTTTAGCCCTTGCCGCAAAGATCTTTAATTTAATTATGTCCTATTTATTCCAATTTATATTTATTTATTTCTTTATTTATTTTCACAGCTGGGTTGTGCGACTGCGAGCAAAGCGACGAGCGGGCGGCAACCAAGAGGAGCTGCACTACATGGCTGTGGGCACCGATGCCGAGGGCGATATCGAGGAAGGCAAGACGAAGAAGACCAAAGCCACCACCACCACCACCACCAAGAAGAAGAACAAGACCAGTACGAAGGTGGGCGCCATCAAGCAAGGCCCTTCATCTTCTTCGTCATCGTCGTCGTCGACACCCTCGACAGCAGCAGCAGAGCCATCGTCAGCGCCGCCGCTTCCGCCGCGCGAACCGGAAGAGCCGGCGGCGGCTCCGGCGGCGGCCAACCAGACGAAGAAGCCGCCGGCGCCCAAGAAGAAGGCTGCGGCGGCGGCCGGACCCAAGAAGCCGGTGGTCAAGCGAGCCGGAGGTGCGGCTGCGGCGCCCAAGAAGAAGAGGGCCGGCTCCACCACTGCCGCCACCACAACTGCGACGTCGTCGACACCATCGTCAGCGCCACCGCCGCCGCCACCGCCGCCACCGGCCGGTGACAAGAAGAAGACCGTCGCCACGGCCGGCGGTGCCAAGGCCACGACCGGTACAACGAAGAAGAAGAAGGCCGCCACCACCAAGTCGTCAACATCAACAACGTCATCATCATCGTTGCAGGAGACGGCAGGACCACTCTAAACGGTGTAAAACATGTTTGCGTGTGTACAGAGCAGCCAAAGCCATGAGAGACACGAATAGAGAGAGAGACCACCAAATGCCAAAGTGACAACGTCGACGCCTAACTTATCGAGACTTGGGGAGTTGTCGCAGGAGATCTTCGAGGGAGGTGACGAGCCGGGTGGCGTTGGGCCGCGCGTAGGGGTCGTACCGCCAGCACTCCTCCACCAGGCCCCACGCCTTGTCCAGCACCACTGCCAAGCCGAAAGCCAACCACCACAATCTACCATCAGCGCCAACAAACAACAAACAACAAAGCCAGTTGCCTCACCTCTGTCGCTCCTGAAATGGGGCTTGGAGGGCCGCCAGCCATCGACGGCGGAGTTGAGGATGCGCTCCTCGTAGAAGGGCCGAATCACCGTCGCTGCCCACTCCTGCGTGTGGGGTGTGTGGTGGTGAGGCTGCGTCGCATGATGGGCGCCGGCTGCGTGGCCTAGTAAGGTGGCGGCGGCGGTACGTCAGGCTGGTTGTTGGCCCGAACGAGGGTCTGGTAGAACAGCACGCCGTAGCTCCAGATATCGGCAGCCTCCCAGTAGTAGTGCTGACGAAGCTGAAGCGCACAATACGGACTTCAGGCTCAAGCACGGCACGACACGCGGCACACGCGGCACACGGAGGGTGGAGGGTACCTTCTCGGGGGCGAACCACTTCCACGAGCCGCCCTTGGGCCACCAATACCGGCGCACGCCCCAGCGTTCGCCGCTACGGATCCACGACGCCAGGTTGAAGTCGGTGATGTAGCCGCGGGTTCTGTCATATCAACACACACACACACACACACACACACACACACACACACACACACACACACACAACACACACACACACAACACGCGCGCGACGATGAGTTGATTTGAGAATATAGAGAAAGAGAGGATGAAAAAGCAGAAAGGTGAACCGGTTGGCGTTGAGGAGGATCTGCTCGGGGTTGAGGTCGTCGTGGATGAGCGTGTATCCCGACTCCACGCCGTAGTGGAGGTACTCAAGGCCTTTGGCCAGATCCAACTGTGTGTGTGTGTGTCGTGTGTCGTTTGTGTGTCGTGTGTGTCGTGTGTGGGCAACGCTTTAGCGCACGACACACACGACACACGCGTGGTGGCACGTACCATGATGGAGAGGTAGGTGCGCGACGCCATGTTGGGGGTGATGCCCACGCTGAGCGTGCCGCCCTCCATGTACTCGGACACCAGCGTGTAGCTATTGCATTAAAAGGTTAAAAATAATAAATAAACGAACAATTCAAATGGATAATAAAGCAAAATAATATAAATAAATAATATAAATAAATAATAAAGATCGAAAGGAGGCGGGTGGTACCGTGGGGAGATGGAGCACGAGACGACGTAGGGCACGATGCTGGGGTGGCGCAGCCTTCGCTCGATGGCGACCTCCCTGAAGTGGGCCTTGACGTCACCGCACGACTTGGGGTCCTTCAGCTCCTTCACCACCACCTTCATCATCTGCCCGCGCGTAGAAGCAGATTTTGAGGATCCATCTTCGCCGCTACTCGATGCAAGCATCAACAAAGGGCTCGACTCCAGGCCTTCCTCCTTCAGCCTGGAGATGTTGAGTCGGCCCTCGTAGACCGATCTGAAGCCATAGGCCGCCGTCAAGAGGCGCCCCCGCTCCAGGCAGGGCGGCTGCACAGCCCGGCAGGCCCGCGCGTCGTGCAGGGCCGGGTCGGCCCAGCTGGCCCAGGCGAAGCAGTACCACTCCCACTTGAGCACCAGGAGCCACCAGCCCAGGGCCACCACCAGCGCCGCCACGCCCACGACGAACCACCAGCTGCGCCACCACTGGTCGCCCCGTCGGGCCACGGGCGGCCGCCTGTAGCTGAACTGTGGTGGGGTGGCGGTGGCGGTGGTGCGGTCGACCTCTTCTTCTCCCTCCTCTCTTCTCGTTCGTGACCGCACGTCCATCGCTTGTGGTGTGTCTTGTCGTGTGTGTCGTGGTGCGGTGCACGCGATCGGGAGATAAAGTTTGGCATGAGAGGCGGGAACTTCCTGCCATGGAAATTTCGGAGGAAACTTCCGGCAGTGAACTGAGAGGTCGATGGTTCGAATCCAGTGGCGGACAGTTGAGAAAAATGAACCGTCAAAAAGGAAAGAGGTTGAAAATGGAAAGGAGACCATGTGCAGCCTCAACGGACACAGGCTTCCATTTACGGCATCGTAACTATTGTTTGAAGGTTGAAGGCCTTCGCAGACAGAGGCTAGAAAAAGAGGTGGTACGCGAGAGCTGCGAGTGAGTGTAGAGAAGGCCTGAACGAGAGGAGAGATGGGATGTACTCTGGGTTCGATGGGCGGGGAGGACTCCAAACAGAAGGAAAAGAACAAAGAGATCAACCGACTTCTCGAACAGCAAAGAAAAGCCCTCGACAATGAGATCAAACTACTTCTTCTTGGTACATAGCTCGCCAAGGTTCTTTCTTTCCTTTCACCTCCTTACTCTCGTTGATCTATGTGTAGGCGCCGGTGAGTCGGGTAAGTCCACCATCGCCAAGCAGATGCGCATCATCTTCATGAAGGGGTGGAAGGAAGAGGAAAAGTTAAGCTACAAGCCCGTCATTGCCAACAACATCATCACCTCCATGCGAACCCTTTTGCCAAGCCTGTGTCGACCTCCAGGTGCTCCCC